GAATGGCAATGCCTACGTGCGGCAGCTAGTCAAACACCTGGTGGGCCTCAAGGAGAGGTAAGGACCAGCCAAAACCACTCTTCTGGGGCATGGAAGTCTCCAGTGGGAGATGGGATCTCCGCAACAAGGGGGATGCCCATGGGGCTGAGCGGTCTCCAGCGCCAGAGCAAGCCTGAGCGCTGGCCTCATCCAGAAGATGCCCAAGATGAAAGGAGACAGAAGAGGAGAAGGGGAGGGATATAGGGCTCCTTGATGGTGGGAAGAAAGAAATTTCTGTGTCCTGTGGTAAGTCCCACATCACATGGCTGGGAGGAGCAGCCATTGTACTGTATTTTCCCTGACGCAGGTCCCAGAGGCACTCAGATGGACTGTTTACCAGTGAATACAGCAAGATGAGAGGAAACGCTCAAGTTCAGAAATTCATTCAAAATCTCATGGGCCGCAAGCGCAGGTAAGAGCTCTGCTTCTTGGGAACGGGAAGGCAGCTCGGGCCATGCAGGCTGCAGGGAGGCAGGTCTCAGCTCCAAGGAAAGGGGGGTGGTGTGACCAGTGGTTTGGAAAACTTGAGACAAGGGCAAGCAGGCTGGGGCTTGATCTCCTCCCACTAGGCTGTGCCTGGAGCTGCTGTGCCATAGCAGAGATGCCCCATCAGCCTGCCCTGCCTGTCACAGCAGGCAGAGCAGGACACAAACCTTCTCACTGAGGCCATTTCTAAGCATAAACCAACACTTTCTACTGCTTATGCATATCAAGCTTAATCCATAGGACACAAAACTTTACGTCAGATCACAGCCTGGGATTTTTTGTTTGCATTTTGATTTAGCCTTTTGGGGAAAGTTGTAGGTGATTTACCTGCTTCAAATAAAGCACCTGAGAAACTGTTTGTAGATAAATGGGCTCTGTAACAGAATGAGGAAGACCTGGGTATCATAGTCCCCACCCATGGCTCTGACTGCCAAACTGGGCAGGCTTTAGACATAATCGGATACGGCCAATATGGGGTCTTTCATCCAGCTGAAATACGGAGCCACTAGCTCCCACTGAAGCCACGTACACGAGCACATCATCAGTTATAATATGTGGTGCACTGCGCTACAACTCACCACTGCTGCTGCCCTTGCTGCTGGTATGTTATGAAGGGCCAACATTGCCTGGAGAGGTTTCCTTCAGGCTCGGTCCTTTCTTCAAGGCAGAGACATAGCACATTGATTCCTTCCCATCTGTTCACTGTGCTTTGATATTTTCTGGAGCACGCACCACTTACAAAATTCTGGCAGATGCAGTAGATTTTTAATTTCCAAATGCTGGAAAAAGGCAAATATCCATGGGCGGAAGGACATGCTGGTACTGGGTAATGAGGCAGAGTGCAAGTGCATATTAAAACCTGTCCCTTTGCCAGCCAGAAAGCATCTGAGCCTGATTTGAAGAGGATACCTCTTTTTCTTCCTGCACAGCTATGGTGACAGTCGGCAGGTTAACGGAGCGTGGACCGTGGGACAGATGGGTGAGGGGGGTGAACCTGCCTTCCAGACAGCAGTGCTACTTTACAGCTGTGGTGGTTACATTTTTTTTTTTTAATTATTATTAACTTTCTTTCTCTAAATCAGCTCTCCAGGCCCAGTCAACACAGATGTGCAGGGGAGAGAGGAAGAAAACAGCCATGAGGAACTTTGCTTTATGTGGTTGTACCAGAGCTTTCTGAACACCAAGTAGGTGGGACAGATTTGTCACCTCTGTGGTCCTGATCACCACAGTATTGAAGCTGAAAGAGGACTTTTAGTAATTTGTAAATGCCCGGTTTTTGCCCCAGGCACAGAAGTCTGATGTAATGCAGCAGATCAGAAGGGCTCAGCTGATATCCTCAAAAATATCCTTAAAAAGGGGAAGGGTGGAAGATTTATTAAATTGTCCATATTTTAAAATCACTTCTACTTCATTCCCCATCAGCTCGTGAGACACTGTCCCGGCGACTGTCATTGCTGAATTGCAGGCCTCCATCACACAGTTTTGTACCTCCTGTCACTCTGCCAGCAACCACACTCCCAGGGGTGGTTTGCAGAGCTGGAAAAGCAAATGCTTTAGTCTAACTGCAAGGTGGCATGGGGCTGTGTGCAATCTCAGTTGATTTCCATGCCTGCATTCACGGTAATCTCTATTTCTACGTGCCAAGTCCACCTGGCAATCAGGTTTGCCTTACCTAAAGCAAAGCTGGCATCGATTTACAGCTAGGAAGTGCCATATAAAAGCCAGTTATTAAAAATAATAAACCCCAGGGAAATGAAATAATATCTTTTTCTAATCATAGAGTTGTCATCCTGGACTGAAACAATTGTTCGCCCCATTCGGAAACCTGATCTAACAGCTAAGATAGAAAGCCTTTGCTACCCTGTCTTGATTCAGTTATTGATTCAAACACACACCTCAGGATGGGCTGTCCCAGCATCTGGACATTGTCTCTTCCTAGCAGCCACCCACTTTCAATTAGACATCTCATTGTTAAATCACTAAAATTAGGAGGAATAAGCTGGCCCTTAGTGCCTCTTGTCCACATTGCCTAGAATAAATGGGGATGATAACACCAATAGGCTTGCCTGTGCGTTTGTGGGGTGCCTGGCTGCTGGCAGCCATGATCTGGGTCCCTCTATCATACATCTGCTCCTTGGAGTCATCTTTGAATTTTACAAGGTGGCCTTGTCACACTTCCTCCAGGAATAACAAACTATCACTCATTTTTTCCCTCTGAACAGCCTCTCTGACAATGATGCCAGGGAAGCTGCTGCAATTACCAGCCAGTATGTTTGCCCCATCTCTAAGCAGTTGGTCGCTGACATGAAGGAAGATACAGACAGTTTCGACTGAAGGTGAAGGCAAAGAAACAACCAAGGAGATGGCTTTGCATGTATATAGCCTTGAAAATAAACAAGGAAGCTATTGAATTTGCTTAGGAAAAACTCCTGAGATCAGCAAATAAAAAAGAATTCTAGAAAGCAGCCAAGAACCAATAAAACCTCTTAGATTACCAAGAACGAAATACATGTCAGTGTGAACTGATGTCAGTAGATGGAGCCTGACTGAAGCACATCACTTCCGCTTTGTGTTAGCATCTGGCTGCCTGCTTCTGAAGTCAAATAAAGATTTGTTAGCTACATCTGTGCTTTGGCTGCTCTTTGGGAAACAGTAATAAGGGTGGTACCATTACTAGGTGTTGGACCGTTAGGAATGCAGGGTTGGGGGGAGAAGTATTTTACCAGGCTTCTCCCACTGGAGGGGATGTTTGCCAGGCTTCCCCCACATGAGGCATGTTGGGACTAACTGGAGTCCCTGGCCACATCTGCCGTGGCTGGGACTCACCACTGCTCACAATCCAGCTGTACAAAGAGGCCAGCATCAGGGCCTCCATTTATCAGAAACTTAGCCAGGTGCTAGATTTTATTGCAAAGAAATGTACTGAGAGCTACTCAGTGTAGATACCCACTGTAAATATTGTTTCCCCTCCATTCTGCCCCAGTATTTACTGGCCCAGTTTTCTCATAGCCACTAAAGACAAAGCTCCACTAGGAGGAATTTGTTCCCACCATTTAATGAGGTTTACATGTTATCCCTGCACCATGCTGCCTGGAAGAGTCTCTTCTCTAATAGAACAGCAACTCCACCTTTTCTGTAAAACCAAGAGATTTTGAAGAGCAGCTCTAAAATAAGGCATCTTCAACTGCGATCATGTGTGCCCACTGCAGAACTGCTCGGTCCGTCCTGCACCATCAGTTCTCACCATTTACGATGCACCTGACATCTGCAAAGAAGCTAGGGGATTTTAAAAGGAGCAGTGAGAGCAGCTGTCCCCTTTCTCCTCCTACACAAAGTGCAAGCCGAAAACAATGGTGTTTCTTTGCACAAGTGGCCAAATGCCTTGCTGCATGATATTTGGCGTAGAAGAATTTACACAGGCTCAGAAAAAGACAGGACAAGGCAGCAGAACAGCATGCTATTGAAGCTTCAGGAAGCTGCTGAGGTAGAAATAGTTGGAACCTGGATGGAGATTCTGGGGGGCATCCCCACTGCTGGCAACTGGTAGAAGGGGACATGCATTGTCCCTACAAAGTTGCTGGGTAATCGCTGGGCTGCAGCTGAGCCCAGTCACTGTCTCTGGATCCACTCTGCTCACCTTGCAAGGGTACTGTAGGGTGGCTGGGAATAACAGGATTGTCTCAGAAACATAACTGATTATCTCAACCCAAGGACTTACACGGGGCCTAGCTCCTTCCTTTGCCATCCAAACAAAAGAGCAGCCAAGATGGCCTTGTCTTTGCTGAAGTCTTTGCCTTTTCTAGAAATAAAGATAAAATATTTGAGAGCTGGGTTTTTAAATTTTTTTAAATAATCTGTTTTTCAGGAACAACATGACAGACTGCAACTAGAAGAGAGAAAACGTAAGTCATGGGCTGAAGAGCAAAACCTGTTATAAAAGGGAATGTGGGCCATGCAGAAAAAGCCTGGCTAAAATAAATAAGATACAGGGCGCATAGTAGCATCATTATACCTCTTTCCAGGACAATGATCTGACCAAAACAGACCCTGTCTCTGGCACATCAGAAGCATAAACTCGCCCACTTCCTCCCACTGGGAGAGGCTGGAGTATACAGACAGCTTCCCAAGTGTCAGCCCTTGTCCTCCTTCCTGCTCATCTCAGGGGGCTTGGCTCTGAATTCTGAAATGCTTCAAATGCGTTGTTGCTACAGAGAGTTTAGGATAGGAAAGACCCAGGAACAAAGTAGAAACAGGAATTCATGTGTTATCATGTTCTGTGACTGGTAAATATCTTTCAATAAGTCATCCAATGAGGCAAAGAGGCAAAGGTTGAACTGCAGCAATCTACTGCAGCCAGCCAATGTTTTTTGCCTTCACGAAGCAGTGAACGCAGAAGACGGCACTGGGAGAAACAGGGAGAGAAGAGGATCTGCTTAATCAGAAACAGGGACTTTTTCAACAACTGGCATCTCACCATGGCTGTTTCTCACTGGCTCCTCACTTCTGTGCTCTTTCTGCTGCCCTTCGTAACACAGGTTTCAGCACAGCAACAAGGTAAGCTCTTGCAGGAGGTCCATGGCCTCGGAGGAATAACCCCCACGGCAGCAGGTTGCACCATTATAGGTGGGAGATGTTTACACTCTTACTCCAAGACAGCTTTGTTCAACGACCTTCTCTCCAATGGTAACCAGAGAGGTCTCACGTCTCACCCAACTCTGTCACAATGTGAATCCCTGGCAATTTTGTGTCTCATTTGTGTGTTTTTCCAGGATGTGCTGTCAATAACAACAAACCGAGCATTTATGAAAATAGCCCTCCTGGCTACGTGGTGACCACTATCGATGTGGAACCAGACTTCACTGCAATGATTGATCATGCTTCCCCCCATGTCAGTTTTTTCACTCTACAGGGGTCCAAGCTGCAGCTGAGCCGAAGTGTGGACTATGAGGTAAGCCTTTAGCTGGCAAGCTGTAAGGGTGAGATGGATAATGCTGGGATACAATTAATTTCAACCTGGGGTCTTGGACTTCCAGGATTCATAAACTGTTTCTAAAGGATCTAGGAAATAACTTTGAAAAGTAAACCTATTTCAGTTGGGTTTGAATTCACTGCTTGGGAGGTCAGCCCTTTCACAAGCAGAGCATAGGGAGGAGGGGGATGCATGGTATGCCTGCTGTCACCTTCCTTCAATGAGTCTGTATGAATTAAAGCAAGGGGAAGTTCTAAAACCAAAAGACAACTGTAGTGTTCAGAGCTCTCCAGGACTCATGGAAAATGATCCCTGCTTGCCTAGAGAAAACACAGCTCTGAGCAACGAGGTGATCTTGCGTGAAACATAAAGGCAATATAAAAGGTCAGTGTGTTCAGTTAGGTTGCTGCTAAATTATTTTACTTTCCTGGAGTACTCTGTACACAGCCACAAGCATCCTTAATCTGCCTTTCCCCTACTGTAAAAACCCACATTTATTTGAGCAAAGAACAGCAGAGTTAACACCCTGCAGGTGACACTATACTTGCTGCATGGTACATTTCTGTTTCATTCAATTTAAAAAGAAATCTCTGTTTGAATTCACCTAAAGCGTGAGAAAATGGCCAATTAGCTCTGCCGACCTGTTACAGGAATCACAGGGAGAGAAGCTGGAAGGTCGGTCTGCTTTGACTCCATCAAAATTCCAGCGCTGATGGATGGCTGTAAAGGAAAGAAAGGAAAAGTTAGATATGCCTGAAAACAAGATAAAGCCCAGCAGCATTTCTGATTCAGCAATGTGTGTATTTGTCTCATTTACTTTAGAAAGAGTTAGTACATTTTGGCTTGTTTCTACAATGGCTGGGGTTTTGTTTTTGCATACAGGAAGACACCTTGCTGCTGGTGTACCTGATTTGTCAGAACATCGATGGGCAGGTGAGTGCTCTTCCAAACACTCAGCCCTGTTAGAAGGTACTGCAGGGCAGCACGTACTCCCCTCTGCTCTTCCTAGTCGACAGACTGGGATGAGATGTCCTTTTCTTTGCAGACATACACACTCCTCTCACAGCCAAAGTCTTATTTTTGTCTTTGATTCTCTCACATTACCATTTCTGCAGAGGAATTCTTTGGAAATTCTTGTAACCGTTCTCAATGTGAACGATAACAGCCCAGTGTTTAAGCAAACGAACCTCACTGACATTGTTCCTGAGGTAAGCATTTTACAGAAGTGAAGAGGACGCTGGGTCACCCAGTGCTGTGGGACTAAGGAAGGGTTAGCTGGGAGAAGTCTTCAGCCCATTTCACAGAGAGAATAACCACAGCAACTTCGTTTCAGGATACAAAAGTGAATGCAACCATTGTAGCCCGTGCAGATTTAAGCGCTAGCGATGCTGACCTGGACACCATATTTTACGAACTCACAACAATAGTGTCGGTGAGCATCTTTGTTCTTTGGGGAAAAAATGGTAGCTTTGGAGAAGTCCTTGTGTTTAATTCAGAAGCGCCCCAGCTTTGAGGCTAAGGTCACTGTATTGCATTTAGTTCTCTGACAGCTTCTGGAAGAGGTATGTCTTTTGCAAAAACCAAGCATTAGTTTGGTTGGCAGAACAGAGCAATCAACATTGCAAGTATTGAATTCTTTTACTGCTCACTTTTATTGCAGTGTACATATTAAACTTTCATCTGTGATATTCTGAGCCATATGATCCAGGGAAGTCTTGTTGGCATGGTCTGTAAACATATCAGGAGACACCTTTGTACCTCACAGAGTTCAGAATTGCGCTGAGTCGGATAGGGAAAGGAGTTATTGTCCTGTTTGCCAGCAGTGTCCATGTGAAGTGGAGATAACACGAGCTGCCCAAGATCACACAAAGAGTCTTTGGCAAGGCCAAAGGCAGCCTCCACTTCCCCAGGTCCCAGTTTAGTGCCTTAGTTTATTTGCTCTTAAGGGGTTTGCTTGATAACATGGGAAATGAACTGTATGCAGTTAAATTGATGCCAGCCTAGAGTGCAAGGGCTAGAAACTAAAAAAAAAGTAAATTCAAGAGAAAAACCAAATGTGTATTTACACTTTTAAAAAGCATTGTGGAGTGAGCAGGCAGTGTCGGACATTCTGCCTCCATTACCTCCATAACCCCAGGGATTTTAAGGGTTGTGAATTGAAACCACAAGTTTTGAATTTCAGCTATTTCAAACTTTACACTCACATCAGTGTAAATCCAGGGGGATTTAGAAATCCGGAGGAATTCTAGTTAAGACATAAGATTAAAGGAGAACCAAAGCAAGTGCAGAAGGTTATAGAGTAAAATGCAACTTATGTTATTTCAGTTTAGCTTTACAGTTGCTTCCAAAGTTCAGCTGTGCTAGGCGAAGGCAAGTGATCTTGCCAGCTCTCAGAGGCTGAGCCATCTTTGATCTGTTTTGTGCATGGATGTGAGATTGCTTGGCTGTCATGGACCCACAATCAAGGATTGTTGGCAACCTATTGAGTGTAGGAAATAAATGAAGTAAAAGGTTTCATCCAGTACCTGCTGAGCAGGCAGGCAGGCAGGCAAAGCAGGGGATCTTGGAGAAGAAAACTCACAGGAACATGAACAAACCTTTCTGACAAGCCAGGCAACTCCAGTGTGCAATACCAAAGATTAAATAGATCTGGCATTCTCACACTGCCCCCCACTCCCCAGATCCCCAGGCTTAAAGGTCCAATTGGGATGACAAACACAGCAATGAGCAGTATTTCAAACGTGTCTGTGATTGAGTCTGCTAGCAGAGTTTTTCTTTCCCCCCCCCCAGGGCACAGATGGTTATTTTGCCATAAAAGGAGTTAATAACCCAGAAATTTATTTACAAAAAGCATTGAACTATGAGAAATTTAATTCGACAACGTTGGTCTTGTATGCAAGGGTAAGTTCCTTAGGAGGAACAAAATGCCTTGTTTGCCCTCGTCTCTCTTAACTGAAGGGTAAGTAAGTCTGAATGAGAGATCTCTGGGATGGCAGGAGGGGGGGTGGATACCGGGGGCGGTGAATTTGGAGCAGCCTTCCACCCTCCGTAATTACACAGTCACTGTGTCCAGCCTTGCATTCAGTCCACCTTTGCCAGCAGAATGAGATAATTCACTGCTTTAGCTAATCTCACATAAACTGCTAAGCTTTAGACAGAGTGGAGTTACAACAGCTAAAACACCCTGGGTCACTGGCCTTTGCAGATGGGTTCTTCTTTTGGCATTAAAACTTGCGTCTCACGAGTATGCTTTGCCTTTGGGTACAGGACAGGCCTGTGGGCAGCACCGACACCATCAACACAGCTACCACAACAATAAACATATTTATTGAACAAGCTGACACCAAACCACCCTGGTTCCTACCCTGTACTTTCATTGACACAGGCAAAAGCATTTGCATCAGCAGCCCCTATACAGGGAGGGTCAATATCTCCGAGATACCGGTAAGCAGGCATGATCAAACAGTATCCTTGATGCTATTCTCAAACAATACCCAGATGCTATTCCCAGTGGGTAGTGCCTAACAGTTTCCATGATCTCATCCTGATCTCCAGTCATAAATGCAGATAATTCAGCATGACAGTGAGCCTTCATCATCCTGGAAAGTGGAGGTTCCCCCACCCCAAGCAGCACTGCTTGTCCTTGTTTCTGCAGGAGAGGCGAGAGCTGGAAAACCCTTTGCTCTAGGCTGTCTTGCTTCTGCCCTGTTACAGCCATTTCCCAGCAGTAAATGCCATTCTGCCCAGACAAAACCACCAGAGCCGCGCTGGGACGGGAGAGGGCTGCAAATGCTAATTTGGTGCTGTAGTGTGGTATGTAATGCTTTCCCTTTCTGTTGCAGACGGAACCACTCATCCTAGAGCCGGGGCCTATCTATGCTATTGATCCTGACTACACTTTAAATGAAAAAATCATGTACAGTATTGTTGGTGGTGAGTAGAAGTTGTCACCTTCCACAAAATGCATTGTTTTTATGTCCCCTACATTGCATGCTGAGAGGAGATACCCTCCATGGCACTTGAGAGTTGAGGGCCTGGGGATTTGCCCCTCTGTTTCTGCCACAGAAACATAACTAGATCCACAGAACATTGTGGATTAAGTAGAAGAAATAGACTCCACAGAGAGGAAGAAAAAGAGAATTAGTCCCACAAACCAATCTCCATGAGATCTGTTTCAAAAGGACTTTGTTTTTTGGGGAGGTGAGACATGTTTTATCTTTAAGCTTTTAGACTTGATTTTGCCAGGCTGATCACACCACTTTTATTCAGTCTTTGAACCTAAAATTCTCACATCATCAGCATAATTTTCATTCATTGCCAAGAATTATGTTTTTATTCCCCAGCAGATTGCCACTGTCTAATCTGCCCTGTTTTAGTCTTGATCTCAAAAAGATTACTCGAATACAGTCAACTGATTGCCCAATCATTGACTGGGCCATTTATTTCATTCAAAGGATTTCTTCTTCTTCTTCTTCTTCTTTTTTTTTTTTTTTAAACAATAGTGGGGTTTTGAATAACTATCAAAGCAAAGGTAGATCATATTGGTGAGGTGGAGCCATTGCTTGTTCATCTCCCTTTACCTACGCCACATGGCACCACATCTGTGAATATCTTCCTGGTAATAAATACATTAAAGAGCCTTAAACACTACTGGCATTTCGGATGTAGTCTGTCCTCCCTACCCCACAGCCAATAGGGAACCCCAGACAGGGAGATCCTTCTCTGAATACAGCCCACAGTGTCCCAGAGTGAGGAAGAGAACTAAAAATTTTGCTTACATTTTAACATATATCCAACATAGATGTTTTTATGATTCAAACACGGATTAGAGACGTAGGAAGCTGATTTCCACCCCTACATCTATACAAGAAGATTTCTGTGTCTAGGCTCCTTCTGTAGTCAGTAGAGAGAAATAAGCATTTCCAGAGCAGAATGCAGCTCACGTTGAGGCCAATGTTCACAGTAAGTCAGATAAATCATGCACTGAGATGCCATTTCTCTTCACAATATAGGTAACAAGGTCAGGTAGACATGCCTTCCCTTTAGTTGCCTAGAGCTATTCAAGATGAATTCCCACCCAACTGTTCTTTGTAGATTGGTTTCTTGCCTTTAAAATAGGAATAATCCTTCCCTTATCTCTCCTGAAGTGCAGTTTGGGTTCAGTTAGGGCTTGGGTTCAGGTTAGGGTTAGGGAACTGGAGACCTTCGGTCCTCAAATTGCACCAGAGGCTCTAGGCTCTAGGCATTTAGCAGAATTTAAGCTGGCTATATCTGGGCCTCGGCACGGGAAATGCAAACCTTTGCTGCCCTACTTCAGCTCGTTGGGTTCACACACATCTTCTCAGCGCTTTTTGTCTGTTGAGTCGCTCTGAATCCCTGGCCAGCACTGCCAGTCCTTGGAGCAGCCAGGCAGGCAAGGAAAACAGCATTATGCCCTGGGAGTATTGTCACTAAGATGTGAAAAAATGAGTCAATGAGCTCCAGGTCACTTTATGAAGGTATCTGATGATTGAGTTGTCTTTCCATTTTCTTTAGGGGATACAGATGAAGTATTCTCAGTGAATGCAGACACAGGGAATCTAACTATGAAAAAAGCAGCAACTTCCTCAGCCTCCTACCTATTGCAAGTCATGGTAAGTCTGATGACATTGCAGACAACAACCTAGCATAGCTGGATTTCTAGGAAGCAGCAGTCTTGATGTGACAGGAGTCAATCACATTCATAATTAAAGCTAACTCAGTTATACCCTTTCTTTTGGAAGGGCCTAGTATTTAACCAGTGTCTTATAGCAACTTACATGCAAAGCTCTTGCAGAAGTTAAGAGGCATTTTCCCTTACCTGTGGGTTGAAATATCAAAGCACATTAACTGAATGGGGACATCCTGCTGAGCTGAAGGTAGGGATGAGCATAACTGGAAGGCTTTCTTTAGGCATGACTGGAGCTTGTGTTACAGTAGTTAACGTAACTCAACCCTAGAGACAAGCTCCTCTTTTGGCTACAGCTCAAGAGGAAAGGAGGGAGTTGAAAAGCACTCCCTGCACATACGTACCCAGGAAGATGTGGACTCTCAGGCAGCAACTGAACTGACCCAAAGCCTCATGAAGATGAGCAGACTCTGCCTGCTGGTGCTTTGTACTGGAACATGGCAATTTGTCCAGACACGGCCCTTATGGAGGGTCATATCTAGACTTTGGGGCTAGACCAAGACTGTGTGGAGGACCAACAGCAGAAGCAATCTAAAACACAAGGATTCCAAACCATAAGGCCACCTGTGACAGGCCTGGCTCAAAGCTCACTGAAAAGGATGGAAAGAACCCCATGGGCTGCAATGGGCTTCAGATCAGGCCTATCCTTTTATGTCTCATCACTAATAGGAAAAGGCTAACATGTCTCTCTCTCTCTCTTTCTCCCCAGGCCACCCAAGTCAACAACATACAGAAATACTCCATAGTCAGTGTAGAGATTAAGGTCATCAATAAAAGTCATTATCCACCGTACTTTGAGAGCAAGATCTACAATGGGACAGTACGTGTTCTTCTGCCCCCAAGAAGCTTTGTCTTCAAAGCTGGCAATCCTTCAGCCCCCCTGATGATAACAGCAGCGGATGAAGATTTCCCTGATGTAAGAAACTGAAAATGCACTGCATTCTTTCTCACTGCTTCAGGCTTAAAGCAGGATCAGAAAACATGAGGAAGGGGAGGTGGGGAGAGGCAAACACATGTTTTCCTCTAGTGTTCCATGTTATATTTCCCTGGCAATTCCACATAGATCAGAATCACTTATGGTGTGATGTAATGTGGGCTCCTCTCTTCCAAAAGCCAGTCTCACACAGATCTATGTAGGTGAGCTGATCCACTGCAAAACAGTATGCTGAGTAAAGCCCAGGGTTAGCAAAAACTGTGAACGGGTCCAGATCTGAATGAGGGCTGGGTGAAGTGTTTCCTTGAAGAGTTCGGGGTGGCAGGATCCCAGGTGGAGGTGTCCTCTCTCTGCCAGGTCAAGGAGAGCTATTTGTGGACTGGCCTGGGAAGAGGAGCCAGTCCAAAGACAGCAGACTAGCAAGGACCTGCAGTCCTGGGCTGGAAATTGTTAACCTTCTCCCTGTAAGGACTCATTCTGAGACAGCCATTCTTTAACAATGCACTGGGAGAAGGAAGAGCGAAGAGATTTACTGACCAGTCATTCCCATCCCACCCTATTAAATAAAGAAAAAAGTGCTAGTTTTATTGATGCCAAGGCTTCCATAACAAGACTGGGGACCTAGTAGAGGAATAACAGCCTAGACACAAAGGAAAAAATTGTGCAGACCTCAGCACAAGTATTATTCTACACGTACATTCCCTTTGGCACTGTATTAAAGGCAGAATGGATCAAATTTACAAGGTCCTGTGCATAGATGTGTTTTGCTTGGGCAAATACTAAAGATACCAACACAAGCTGGGTAATACACGGGATTTTTTTGGAGGCAACACTTCTAGGATACATTCTTGAACTCTGAGCAACGGGGTGAACACATTTGCGTTCAACCTTTCTCACCTCCTCAGTCCAGATTTATTTATTGCACTATACAGCTGCTCATAATTCAGGTGTATTTGACAAGCCCTGCCAATGGGTTGTTACGAAGACGGATGCAAAGCACGAACAGTGTGGTTTAATCATTCACTCTTCTGGCTTTTCAGAAAGTCAACCCAAACATTGAGTACTACATAAAAAACAGCACCGATTTCATCGCAACCAAAGATGGACTCATCCTGACAAACGTGATGCTGGAGTCAACAGGAACTGTAACCATAGAGGTAGGGCAACTTTCTTCATTATTTTGCCAGGGTTGTGAAGGAAGGGGTAGTTTCTAGTAGCGAAGCACCAAGGGTGGAATTCCATTAGATAAGGGATATAATGAAAGGACAGTCCTTGCCCCAACCATTTGCATCATAAATGTATAGGGACAGAGGGAGATGAAGTGATAGCAAATTTACTCTGTATGACACAGGCTATATCTGATGCTAGCTGTAAAATTGTTTCTCCAGTCCTGTGGAAAATATCATTGGAGACAAGCAAAAAGTCAACTGGGGAGATTTTAGGAGCCCCTTTCCCACACTCTGATTCTGATTAACAAAAAAAGGAGGGTGAGCAAATGGGCAGGAGGTTGATGTGTAGGTATGGGTAGGGTATGATTGCTGGCATATACCCCAGCTCTAAAGGCTACAGCCCCAAACTTGGAAATCCTTTGGTAAATCCAGTACTTTTTTCGCTCAGGTCAAAGGAAGCAGTTAATAACTTTAGACTTTCTAAGAAGCTAGATGTTCACTTTGTCCATCTGCCTGCCAGTGACAACTGTCTCCTTAAGACTTGCCTAGCACAATGCCATGCCCTATGGAGCTACCTGAACCAGCTTCACTACAGCATTGTTTTAGCTACACAGGCAGGGCAGAGAGAGGTGCCAACACATGCCGCTACCTGCCCCACACTACCTCATTATCTGGGTACAGCACTGTGCTACAAAGCTGTACACAAATGATGCACCTGATTCTGGCCCAGGACAGGGAATCTGCAGAGCTTTTCTTCCTCTGTGACCAGATTGTCCAGCTACAATGCAGGGCTATTGTGAGGATGTGGTGAGGATATGGACAAGGTACTTACTTTGTCCACAAAGGGCCCACCACATACCTTGAGAGTGAGCTGGAGATCTAGGAAGTCCCTAAGCTATCTCTTTCCCGTGTTCACGTAGGCTGTTGCAAAAGATATGGTGAGCCTGCAGGAGGTGAGCACTGTAATCGTGGTGGAGGTCATCCCTGCAACAGGTAGGCTGGGTGTCTCTTTGTTTTCTGCTTTGTGGAGATGACTGGGGAGTCTTTTCCACTTCTGTGGGCAAACTGTCAATGACAGGTCACCCACTGAAGTCTGTGGACCTGGGCTGAGGCCAATTCCATACCTACAGGAGGTTCTATGGCGGCTATAAGAGAGAAAACACTCATAAAACATCCTTATGATGTGGTCACTGCATGCCTCAAACAGCCTCCTGAGACTTTAAGTAGTGCTGTGTCTTGTACTGTCTTTTCCAAAGCTAAATCTGGGGTTGCTTCATGCTGTTTTGTGGGTCAGAAATAACCCAAGATGTCTTATCATGGCAAAGGAGGGTTGCCCTGACGCCTTGGTACATCATTGCTCCTTTTTAGCCAAAAATAGAGAAAACTGAAACATTATTTCCTTTCTTATGCAGAGCAGACAGAAGTTGGCACACCCGTGCAAAGCCAGGCTTCCTCATGAGCCAAGGCATTTTCTACTCAGGTCAAGTTCTTATACTCCAAGATTTTAAGGACTTAACAGGAGAAATGACCCATGAGAAATAAGATAGACATGAGGCTACATACATAACCCTCCAGCTACCATTTGGCTTTGTTGACGTAAAAATAGCTTACACTTCCATACTTCTTAGAAATGGCTCCTAAATAAATCTTATAAATCAGTTAGATTTGAAGCTTACGAAGCTTCTTATGCTTTGGGTTAAGATGAACCAATATCATGCATTTTCACAGTAGGATAGGCAAATAATGCCCAGACTCCATTGGTTTCTACATGACGATGTGTGATTGAAGTTCCCAGTTGGGCTCTTCCATTACTTCACCCTCTGAACCACGACCATTGTGGGAATTTCTGGAGGAAAAAAAAAGTGGGCTCCTGGCTGTAAATTTGGATTCCCTAAAGGCAGTGTCACTTCACAGCTAAAAACACTGGCTGCATGAAAACTGCCTGACCCCATTTGAGACCACAGTCCAGCTCAGCAGAAAGCTGGTTTAGGTGTCAGTGCACAGAGCTGCAAATGCTCCAAACAGATGTACCAATACTTCTATACCACTTTTAAATGTTGGCCTTGCTATTTAACCCCCCCCCCCCCCGAATAATTATGTTGGTGACTATGCAAAAAAGTAGATTGAAATTACACTGAATGGCTCAGAGCCTATGAGAGGAATTGTGCTTTATTCTATACTATAGCCAGCACCCAGGAATGGCCTAAACAGAGCTGAGAATACCATTGCCTGGCCAATCTGTAGGATATTTCACCCTCAGCTCTAAAAGGTGGTGTTAAGGAACGTGCATGCAATGGGTTGGAGAGTGCTTTACTGAGCGTTCCAATATCCAGGGAGAAACTAGAGTCATTTTTAATATACTCTCCTTCTGGGAAGTGGTAACTGTACTTTGGCCTCTGGTTTCTGAGACACCGGTGCCGGAGCCAGCTCACACGGATCTCAGGGTGAGTCATTCCACCAAGCTTTCACAGAGGCACCGCGTGCTGCACAGCACAGAAGGAGTTAATGCTAGTAGTGTTTCACATCAGCTCTGTGGGCTGTGGCTCCCTAGAAGGCGTGATTAAGAAGCAAAAATTCACTGATGTCCTAAACCCTCACCAATGTACTAATGATAAACTGAGGGTGCAATCAAATGCAGAGGGAATACTCAAAGTCCATTGTCATAAACAGGTCAGCAGGAGAACAAAACTGTGTTTCATTAATCATTAAACTTTAAAGAGACTAATTTATGCTACAAAATGAAGCTAGGAAACTTAAAAACAAGTCATCCCACTGACAAGAACAAGCAAAGCTGATTAACCCTGAGGAAGTTACTGGTTTTCCACTATAATGTTGATCTCCATACAAATATGCTTACGCTGACCGGTGGCTGAAAGCATAAGCCACTCCTGAGAAGGCTGGCGTATATTGCTGCAGCTACAAAAAGGGCAGGAAAGGGTTTCTGGTCCTGGGGACCTTCTAATGCTTTTTCTATTTCCTATTATGCTTTTTTATTTCCTGTTTTAATGAGCTCGTCAGTATCAGAGGTGACGTTCCAGATTAAAAGAAGCTTTGCATTTTCACATACATACGTACAAACGTACCTCATTTTTGCATGCTGGTGTAAATGGGTGAAGTGGGAAAGTACAAGACCTACCTAGCTTTGCTCCATATAACATCTGCTTGCTTAATACAGTCACATATAAATCAGCTTAGTTAAATCATGGGGCAAAAGTCATTGTCCTGTAAATGGATGCTATTTCCACTTCATGTAACTTGTTGGAAGTTATAGTATTCTGTGACTGGTCACCTTAAAAAAAAAAACCCTCTGCTTTCAGGACAGCAAAGAAATGGCCTTCTGTAACATGAAATATATCACTGTCACATTCTGCAGCACAGGATGCGTCTTTGCCCTTCAAAAATTGGTTGGAGCTTCTCCCACAATGAAGTGTTGTGTTAAAAAAGCTAGCTGCCATTTGTAGGCTTTGTAACACTGGTTGTTTTTTCTTGTAGCTGTATCCTCCCCTGATAAGAGATACACTGCTCAGGATATGGGTATCTTAGGTGGTACGTTAGCAGCACTGCTATTAATTGCCTTAGTCTTCCTTGGAGTGATGATATTTAAACGGTATGGAAAATCAGTCAAATACCCAACAAGGAAAAAGGTAAGTGCGTGCCTTGTTTGCACCTGACTCACTTTAAGAATTTCTTAGAGTTAGAAAGTGGGATCTGAGGAGGTTTTAAAGTATGGATGGGCTGTCCAAATACTACACATGTTTGTGTGAAGGTGATTAATCGCTCCTGAGACAATGTTTGCAAAGGTAGCATCGTTTTGGTGTTGCTTGTTACTTGCTGCTGTTCTTTTCTGCCCCCTGAGGCTGAAGCTGTGTGGTAGATGATGAGCAGACATGATAAGGAGAGGACCAGAGCTCCATGGAGCACAAAATCTAGGATGAATGTGACACATATCAGAGGTGGTCTCTGAAAAACAGGTGTCTGTGGTATAAACTGCTGTTCATCTTCCCTCTATAGTCAATGGAGAGAAAGGTCCCTTCATAGCCTATCCTAAAGCCTGCGCTTAGACAGTTGTCTGCACTTGAGCTATTAACCCCGGCAGTCTGGTTACTTTGAAGTTTAGGGTGTAATTCATAAGACCAGACGTTGGTCTCTACCTTAGGATGGGACTGTGAGGAGCCTAGACTCCACTGACTACAACAGGAGTCCAGGGCACATAGCTCAGGTGAATAACAACAGTCCTTCACCCTCAGTGAGGTAAATCCCACTCCAGAGTAATACCTCAAATGGACAGGTACAAATCAGTATACATTGCTGGGGCTCAGCCCTCCTGGAAAACATGCCTATGCTTATCTGAAAAAATCTAGAAAGGAAATCAATAAAAAATAGCTGTTCTAGAGAGCTGTATCTTTCCCAGGTTTCAAATAGGTCTAACTGCAAAACAAGCTGAAGCTTTTCTAAGCAGAGGCTCAGTCGCTTCAGCCACCCCTTTCCTCCCCTGCCCTGTTTCTTTTCCTTTCTCTAAAATCATGAGGTGTCTCTCCTCCTCTAGGTCTTCAGGGAAATCCTTGGGGGTTACCAGAACAAATCTTACAACCAATATGAACACCCAGATGTCAGCACCAAACAGCACGAGACATCAGAAAATGGCAGTGTCCAGTTGAAGACACATGTGCTAGAGCAGCCAGCACTTCCCTTGCCCTCTTCCAACACAGAAGAAACTGATAGCCTCCCAAAGGCTTCTATAGCTTCCACCGTCATCTTTGACCAGGAAGAGAAAGAAGAAGAAGTGGAAGAAGAAACTAAGCATGAGAAAGAAGTGAAGTCTATCCTCAAGACAGACAGGCACGTGGCAGATGATGGCTACAAAGCTGTGTGGTTTAAGACTGATGTGGATCTAGATGCTGGAGAGAGGGCTGAAGTGATAGAGGACAATGCAGCAGATGGCGATGATGACAGTGACCAAGATCTGCAGAAGAATGATGATGAGGAGGAAGAAGATTATGACAAGGACGATCAACACAGAGGGCTGGGAGTGTCCTTTGCCTCAGAGAGCTCATCACTCTCAGCTGCAGAAGTGACAGTCAACATGTCTCACACTGATGCGGTGACAGAAGATGATGATGACATATAATGAAAATAAGCCTCACTCTGCCCCCCAAAATGGGGAAATCTCAGCTGCTTTGCTGACATGAAGCCCATCTTTCTGCTCGGAGGGAAATCAGAATGCAGGAGGACGTGGTTGCCTGTCCTGCTTGCCTGAATGCAGAGATTAAAGCTGGAGGAGATTACAGCTAGTTCAATCTTTCAGTGAGACCTTGCAATATCACTTAGGATTTTGGGTGGGAAGAACACATGTCCTATGTCTCCACCTTCCTGCCTGTTCCCCCTGGGGTCCCTTACATCACATTTCTCAAACTGGCTGCAGGTACAGCAGAGATGTAGCTGAACTGACTTGGAAGCAGTTAGTCCAGCTCATGGTAGCAATTCAGTTACACAACCCAGTGTTCATCTCCTCTTGGTGGGTAAATAAGCCAGCACTGACTGCTTGGCTGTTCCCTTTGGGGTGTTACAGTTCGATGCCAGCTGCAGGGCGTAAGCCAGCGCAAGTCACCCTGACCCTGCAGTTGCTCATAAGACTGTATCCAGGAGCTCACTTCAGGGCTTGGCTCTGCTCTCTGCTGTGCCAGACTCTGTGCTCCCAGCACAAGCTGGTGGCATGTGCCACTATGGTCCTCATCCTGCCAGAAGCCAGCAGTTTACATGCTCAGGAGCTGCTGTTTCCTCTATCACTGGTAAGCAAGGACTGATCACATGTTCTTTGCTGAAGGACTTTGTCATCATTTTTTCTATGTCATAAAACCACTAATTGTGCAGTACTTCTTTAGCTGTCTGTCTCCTAACTCTCAGGGAAAAGAAGAGCTCCTGCCAGGACCTGCCTACAAAATGCCAGGGGCATTTCCAGCTCTCTGGGCTTTTGGCAGCAACGGGTATCATTCCAGGGGTGCTGGGTGTGGAGTCAGCACATTGTTTCCCACTATTTCCCTTGTCCAACAGGGCTCAAGGTGTCCCTTTTATCATTGCTGCTGAAGGTGGAGGTCAGCATTGCCTCCAAGTGCCAGATGGCACTGCCATTTCTCTGCTCCTCTCTTGTCTCAGATGACAACCCTTTTGCATACCACCTTTCTCCATTCATGAGGAGCCCAGCAGGCTCTGTTGCTGGTAAAATACCATCTTTCAAGCTTCACCTAGAGCCGAGATGCAGCCTGAGAGCAGAGGTGATTCACTGAGAGCAAGTCAGCTCTGCTGTGCTCGGCTTGTGAGTTCAGGCTTGAGCTAGAAAGCCTGCTGACCTCTGGATTGACTTCATGAGGTGACAGCACCATAGCATGTTGGACCCCTCCTCCCTCAATCCTCCCTCATCTTTCAGCAATATTGTCTTCAATTATGGTCCTGCCATAAAGCCCCAATTCAGTAAAGTGAGCACACCATTTCCAGGCAGCATGGGGAGTAAAGTGCTTGATGCTCTGGTCTGGATTTAAACCTCCCATCAACCAATCTCTTCCCCCACCTGGCAACTAAAAGCTGGGCTGATTTCCACTGTCTGAGAATATGGCTGTGTGCATTGGCATCTTCTGATCTATCCGCACAAAATTTGTGCTGCTCCTGGTTTTCTCATTCTGGGGCTAGCTACAAGGCAGACATGGGCTGTTGAGTGTTTAACTTCCAGTAAAAAGCTCGGGAGAGTCCAAGACAGGGAGGCAGCAGAAGGAGCTTGGGTGACTAATGTTTATCTCACTTTATTAGCTTAGCACAACAGCACAGGATTGCAACAAGATAAGTCTCCTGATAAAGAAGCAAAACCAATAAATAATCCTGCCTTTTCCCTACTTGCCCACCAAGCCAATCTCCACATTGCTGCTATTACTCCAGATAAACCCTCGAGAGAAACCAAAGTATGGCTGCTGGGATCTGCATGTACACCAAAGCACAAATGATTTCCAAGGAGGCTTTTATCCTCTTGGTCCATACTTTATTTCTGGACATGTCCCTGTCCCAGTGTTGCTAGTGCTTAGTTCTGCTCTCCTTTCTCTGAGGAGTACTGCCCTTGCTGTGTGGACTTCGGGAGCTGCACTTTTGCTGAAGATGGAAATTGAGATGTGGAAAGCTTTCCTCCTTATTGCAATAAAGCTATTTGCCCAGAAATTACAAGTGCAGTTTGTCTGATAACAGAGGGTGGGGACTGTGCCCTGTGTTTGTCATGTAAGCACGGTTCTTCCAGTAGCTTAGGGTTGTCTCCAGCAAACTTTTCTCCTGGGACTGTGAGAACTCTCCAGCAGTTGCTAACTGCTAGCCCAACACCTTCAGCTGCCAGCAAGAGTGAGGGTAGAGCCCAGCCTGCCCTCCATGTGGATGCTACCCATAGGAGGATTGCTGATGGGTGGGTGAAGCTGGAGTGTTTCTACTCTGACCCCCTCCAGGCATTTGCTTTTTTTCACCTCTGGCTAAGGGCCAAAAATGTGCCACAGGCTTGCTGTGCACCAAGAACCAGCATTTATGATCGTTCAGTGGTGCTAAGTGCCCCGCTGATTAGGGATCTTTTTGGCAATGCAGGATCGTATCCCAGGTCAGTGGCTGACATAACCCAGCTTACATGGGACAAGGGATGATCTCTGTGGAAGCAAAGCAGAAAGCAGAAGCAGACGTTGCACTAATGCAACAGTGAGTGCTCCCCATCAGATGGGCAAAGGGAACAGACACAGCACGGTGCTTTCTAACCCATGTGGGTGTGGGAAGAGACTGGAAAGGATGGAGGATGTTTGAGAGGAGGAGAAAAAGGCAGATAAAAGCAGCTTGATGTTCACCAGCCCCTCTGCCCCAGTTTTCTGCAGTTGCGACCAGTGCTTATCAGAACCCAGTTATTGTTACCCACAGCTCTGTTACGTGGGTCGCAATTGGTCATTCCTGCCTCAGTGCGTTAATAAGGAGCTTTGAATTATTTTAAGACATAATGACCTGAAAAGCGACTGACTGGCATTGGGAAGGAGAACTGCTGATTGCCAGATCCTATCTGCCTTTAATGAACCAGGAAAAACATTTCTGAGAGAAATGCTGACACGGACAGCATTTACTGAAAGCAAGGGACAAGAGGCAGGCTCAAATCAGTCCTGGTGCAGCTGCAAATGTGCAGTCAGGGGGTGCCAGTCTGGTATCTCGAGCAGCGCAGTGAATTTGGCCCCACCGGCTGTTACCAAAGATGATACCACCACAGCGGTGAAGGGACACAGACATACGCACACACAACTTCCCCAGCCCAGCTGCCCCCTAAGTGTGCTAGAGCAGAAATACCTCCTCAGTTCCTGCAGCATTTTGCTAGCCTCGGGATTACTTGAGGCACAACTTTCACTTTTACATCTGGGGACTGTATTCCTGTGGACTATCCTTCTCTACCTCTTCTTTCTACACACCTGGAGAAAGGAAAAATCCTTTTCTGCTTGTCCAGAAGACTGTTTGATGATACCTGTGAACAATGACTGGACTGAATGGTTTCCAGCAGAAGGCAGTTTGTGTGGGCTGACACAGCGTAGCTGCTCCATTTTCCTCGTTGCTGTGCCATATGTGATCTATTCCTGTCTGTTGGCCTGCTGCTGTCAGTCTGTCTTCCCTCTGCTGCTGTATTGTTTGGGCTTCTGGGCACATGCGTTGGCACACTGATTTATGAGCTCCCTCGATTTGCAATCTGTACTCATCTGTTGGTGCTTCACCTTCCCCCTCATTGGTTTGCTTCTCCTGCTTTTGGCCTTTTGTGTTGGCATGCTGTTTGAGTCCAGGCACCCTCAGATTGCAATCCGTTGGCTGTTGGTGCTCTGGCTTCCCTCCACTGGCATGCAATTGAAATCCCGTCACTGTGCCACTCACCTGCCAGGCTCCCTGCTGGCAGTTCGTTCCTCTGCAGCCCCAGCTGCTCAGTCTGTCCCCCCGCAAGCTTTTATGTTCTTGTTCTTTTATCCTCAAAATTCTTACTGGAAATACCCAGAAGTTTGTGCTTGTTAAGACAAAAGTTAAACCTCAGCACTCAGAGGGGAAAAAGTGTGTTCAAATAGTGCCGTCACATGGACAGCAAAGGCATCTGTCTTTTATTCCACACAGCTTGAATGAGAAAGCAGAAAGTGAAGGTGCTTCTGCCAACTCCTTCCTGCACTCAGCCCTTCCTTCAGAGCCTTGTGGTGAATTGGGGTGTCCTGCCAGCAGGAAGCTTCACTGACCTTCCCTCTCTTGGGGTAACAGCCCCACGCAAAGACAGCACGCGTCTGCAGAACCTAACTCTTATTTGTGCAGTGAGTGTATGAGTTACAGAGCTGGCTGCAACCCCAGAACAAGGGTGTTGAGATGCCACCAGTGCTGTGGCTTCATTGATGTGCCATATCAGAAGATCTCACTGGGCATGGCAGGGAGAGGGAGGTGTGGCTGCTGGTCCTCTTTATGCCATTTTTGAGGTCCTGAAGCCAGGGCTGCCAGGGCTAGGGTGCTGCTGAGAGAGGGGGACAGCAGGAGGTTGGGGGCTGTCTTCCTTTGTCTGCACCTGGATGGGCAGGAGAGACCAAGGGAAAATGCTCTCGAGCCATCAAGAGATGATGCTGATCCTCACCACCACTCCTCTGACCCCACATCCTGTTCCCAAACCTAGGTCTCAAGAGAGGTTTTGGGTAGTTGGTCAGTTGGTCCTTTTGTTCTCTCTGTTGTAATGACGTCCAACGACCCCCATTTCATTCTGCAGCCTCTTCCCTGCAGGTACACTGTGAGGCATCAGTGCCATGCTTGGCTTGAGAGCCATCCCTACACCCTGCCTCATGGTTTCTGTTGTCCTGTCCCTCCAGGAGACTGTGGGAGGCCGTGCTGTTCGGCTGGAGTGCAGGCAGGGAATGAGTGTCCTGTTCCCTCTTATGGAGGCCCTTCCAGGCTCTCACACTCCGCTTTCCTGAGCAGGCACACCAAGAGCAGTGAGCAGGAGACCTTTGAGTACCAGGTCAGAGAGTGCACTGCGTGTGACCAGCTGTGTCTCAGGGCCAATGACCTCTCCTGCCTCTTCCTGGATACCAGCAGCCTGCATGGAGCCTGCAACATGTCTGTGGG